GGCTAGGTCTAGCCTAGCTAGGTAACATCGTTCGTTCATACATACGTATATTGAGCGTTAAGTACGTACAAATTTAACCCAACCTCTATTTTACGAATCCCCCGATTTACGTACGCCCTCCGGTCCCGTACCGTATGTAAAATCGAGGTTCTACTGTATATTGCCCCACAAATTGTAGCAATTTAATCAATCAAATCGGAAGAACTATCTCAGCAAACAGCAAGGAAAAATTATAACAGTCGCTCGCTTGTGTTTTAGGTCTAGCCGGCCAAGTGCGATAGCATGGCGATGCTCTGCTGCCTGTGGTTCCATATACAGCAAGGGTAACTTTCTTAAGTCAAGATGCCCTGTATGAGTGCCTAGCGGCTTAATACTTTTAAAAATTCCCAATTTATAAAGGGGGACACCCTTCCAAAATCCTTCCCCGGATGGCTCTAAGTGCCAAAGTACACCTCCTGCCATGGCCCTTCAAATATTCAATGAACAATTTTGGCAACTATTTCGATATAGTTGAGAACCCCTGGTATAAATAGTTTTCTCTTTAACATCAGTTGGTGATGGGTATCAACACCATATGTTATAATAGCTCTTTTAACCAGATCTTCTACTGGGAAGTGGTTTCTTCCAAGATGGAACCTCTGCCAGATTGTTCCAGAAGGAAAGGGTTTCGAAGCATTTCTCTCTGGCACAAACTGCCACCTCTACATCAACTGTCACAGGTTTCAGGAGGGCAAGTAGGCCACTGCAGTTTCCTGTATAATTTTTATATTTTATTTCCCCTCTTAAACAAGAACTATGATCCTCATTTCAGAGTGTCAGAAGAAAAAGACCAAAATAATAAGTGACAATAATTACCTCAGCACCAAGCTCAGTCAGTGTCTCAATGAGCACAGCTGTTTGGATGGTCATGTGCAGACAACCAGCGACGCGGGCTCCCTTCAGGGGTTTGCTGTCACCGTGTCGTTTTCTCATCTCCATCAGACCAGGCATCTCCTTCTCAGCTAGGGTAATCTCTTTGCGACCCCATTCGGCCAGAGACATATCGGCTGAGAATTACAAAAAAAAAATTGACCTGTTGTCAGAATTTGAGTGCTAGGGAATATTTGAATAACAGATATTGTTGGTACTTAATTTTAATTGAAAAAATATACTATTTCAATAATTGTAGCAATTCTAATTGACTTTACACAATAAAAGCATCAGAGACATTTCAAGAGTAAGCAAAATGGGCTAGATAAACAAATTGAAGGATGAAATTATAGACAAATGAATGGGACAATATGAAATGATATGAGTTAGTGAATGAAAAAATGAAAACTTTTTTTTTAAATTATAAATATAAAGCATTTATCTATCTCATTACTACACTGTTTACATTCACCAATAAAATTATTTTTATTTTCTCCTCTGCTTTTGCCAAAACCATTTTTATTTAATTTTTTTCTGAGCTTCTCCGACAACCATAAAAAAAAAATTATTTTTGTGAAACAAAATTACTCTTGTATATTCTTTTTAGTGTATATCAAAACACATTCTGGCCTCTGGACACAAAGTGTATTGTATTTTTAATGAGCTTTCAAAAATAAATAAAATATAATATAAATAAATATAAGGTATAAAAAGTCTCCCCTTTTAGAGTCGTATTAATAATTCTAGTCATGAATTGGCAGTAAAATTATTTCACAATAGAAATTATCTATAGGTTTGTAATTATTCCAGCTACTACAGAATTGATTGCTCATACAAAAAAGTCAGGCCACATGAACTGCATGTTGTAAACTCCCAATACGTGGCAACAGCCACCAAATTATACAAAAACAATTTTCATGGCATATACCAGATTAAACCAGATCCACTAAATCTATACAAGATACAGGTCAACTTTATTGTCAAAATCAAAATTCTGAGACATAGTATTTGTAGTTATACTGCAGAATCACAAATATATGTGATAATAATATATGGTTAAAAAAATAATTGTTAGTAAACAAACATTCTTAATACAGTTCAATTATCGTCTGAAATTTTGATTAAATAAATTACAATTAACGGTTTGTGGATAATTTTTTGTTGTTTTAAGTCTAACCCTGCCCGACCTACTAACAATAATGTCTCAATATGATGGATGGGATGAGTCTTGCGTAATTAAATTATTAATATCTTCCCAGGATTTCACTTGACATAATAAGGAGAATCAGATATATGCTTTTTCATAAGAATAAAAACTTTGATGACGAGTACATTTTGACCTTTTATTTATTTTCCAATACCAATCTATAAAATTCATAATGAACGTGACCACAAGCATTATTCTAAATCTGAATCTATATGATGAGGTACCAGTAGGAGAAATCGTGAAATAATTCATTGTTGTAAAATAAAATTGAAGCCATCTTTAGCAAAGTAGTTCATAGATTAAAACAGACTACAGGAAAGGTCTAAAGGAAATTATAATTACTGTATTAATCGTTTTGGGAAAAAAAAAAAAAAAAAAAATCAGGATGGTGAGGCAATGCCATTATACAGTATAAAAATATGAAGACTCGTTCCACTTAAGTATTTTCAGACATAAATTTAGTATGAGATAAATATTTTTTTTTTAAATTTTTCTAAATTCTTAATGGCTAAAGGAACAGGCGGTTGGAACAAGAATTAAAATTATTAGTAGTAGAGATGTAGTTTGGTGGTTAAGATGTTTGCCGTCCAAACCCAGAGTCCTGGGTTCAAATCCTGTGACAGCACAAGCACAGCACAATGGACCTTTCCACTAAGCTCCGCCCCTTGGATTTTGTTGCTAAGGTCCCACAAGACGGCAGTGTTAAAACATACGCGAACACGTGCGTTTGTGGGACAACACGTGTGTTTGTAAGACGTGCGCGTATTCCTAGGGTTGTTCTGATTAGTCAGTTGTTAAGTTTGATTGACATTCCGGAAAGGTCTATTATCCTCTACCCACTTGCTTCACTAAGCCTTCAGCAGTCCTGCAGCAACCTACACCTTTTGTGCTTATGCCACTACTCTTCAAAAATATATCCTGCACTTTGGGGTTGTACTATTTGATCGTACTTCTATAAAAATATTTCAATGGATGACATATGCATGCCAGGTCAAATATAGTATTTGATGCTGATAAGTGAAGGATGACTAATCAATTCTTTTTGCCAACACTGGCTACTATCCATTCTGTTGAAAACTGTTTTAATGAAATATTGATTTCACAAGTGCCTGTCTGGTATATATTTCATTGCGTGAATAATTTTATATCCACTAAAAAAAATTATTACAAATTATGGCGAAGTAACAATATTAATTGCTTGTGGTACATCCTGTCGCGTTTGTAATTTGATTTAACAATTGGCCCCCAAAAACGATCGAGCCCTGGACGATCGAGCCTAGAGTTTTAACTCTATACTTATATCTTGCACTCAAGGCAAATTATTGGGTAGTGATACGGAAATTTTTCATTTACTATGAAGTCTGAAGACAGTTACAGAAATGCATTTTACAAACTCGAAATGTGAAGCCAGTAAAAAACAACCCTTAACCCTATATCAACAACTTCTAAGGAAACACCTATCGCTGTTTTGAACATGAAAGTCATTAAACTCTGTTGCTTAATCACTATCATGTGAAGAAGCTTTATCTATTAACAAACACTTCAGACGACAGATTGTAAACAGTGATGATCAATAATTTTCAGTTCCACTACGAAAAAACATTGTCATCTTTTTCTGATTTGGAAGTCACAGCACTTCCCTTTTTTGCTGAATAACACCAAACAACAAGGTTTATTTGAAAACACTAAATCCACAAATAAGTTATGCTAGAAAAAAAAACCAAACAGGGTTACTAAGGCCTTTTTAAACAACACTGTTGGATTGAACACAGCACTTTGTCATTGATGAATTACCACTGGAGACCAATCCCCAACGATCACTTTTAAGTAATTTTGAAGCTGTGTTATAATTATATGGGAAATATTGTAAGGGTAAATTGCATTGTGGGATGTGTGTTCAAATCAGCAATTTTTTTTTCTCCCCAAATGCCAAGGAGTGCATTAATAGCACTTTCCATCCAGCCCACTGTTTTGTTTATACTAGGCCTATCCCTACACAGGCATCCCCACCCCAGTCTACGCCTACTCACGTACCACATATGTTAACGAGATAGTAGTAACTATGTACCACATATGTTAACGAGATAGTAGTAACCCAACATCGTTTCCGTCATAACAAATGAAATTATCTGCCGTAATTTGCCTTTAGTTCGCGAGTTAATGAAAATTATAAATCCTGACAGTATTTTAAGAAAGATACAGTCTTAGGTTTAACTTGAATATCTCAATCAATTGTTGATATTCTACATCCAGTAAGGTTTGAATAAACCATGCACAACATTTTCTCCATGAATAAACTAGACTCTACTCGGTGACCTCTACTTTGTCAGTGAATTACAGGTAGGAATCCCAATCCACAAAATTTGGGATTTTTTGCAGTACCCCTTTTTCCAGGTGTCTGTAATCACATGGATCTATTCCGTTTATACAACACCCATCACTGCTAAGCAGTTTTAAAGGGTGTTGTATAAACAGGCCCTACAGTAGCAGTCAATAAATGACGTAGCCATCAAAAACTGAATTTGACTTATTCTGTATTTATCTTTTTGCAACTCATGTAAAACGAAAGCAGTTATAATTATAGCATGGGTCTACATATTTTTGTCTGTTTACTATGCTACGAAGAGATATTTGAACCAGAGTCAAGGATTGGTCATCGCTAGCGATTGAAATTTTGCAGCAGAAATGGAGACGGAAAACCATCTTTAAGTCCAGTTTAGAATTAATTATTATTATTATTAATAAAAATAATGCTTTCCATTGTTTTGCCTTTTCACACACTGCAAATCTCTGCCATGATGATAGGGATTGTTTATTATTATTGTTTATTTCTGGCTTTCAAATCATTATTAATTGTTTATTATTATTTATTTATTATTATTTTATTAGTTTGATAAAGCCCTGGCATTAACCCTACAAATGGCCCTGAGTCTACACTTTGGATTTGTTTGGTGTCAAACTCACAAACTTCCGAAGATTATTTCTAGTGGGGTTGTGATAGTACTGTACACCCAAAGACAATCCCCTACTCATTTTCCAAGAGTCTACTGCGTTCTTTAACGTGTACATGGGCCATGTTGCACACAGGACAACTAGCTTTCAACGTTTCACGTGCTATTGAAACTTTTCCAACCTGCCAGCTTAAACACAAGGGCAGCAGGGATGGGAACAGAACTGGGACCAAGAGATCTCCACGGTTTAGTGCACACACAGTGGCTACCACCCCACTGAGCAAAGTTGTACATTCATGATCTAAATTTCACATGAATGTATTTACAAAGCCCAGACTTAAAACACTGACTGACAATGTGGCAAAATCGATAATAATTTAACAAGGCTGGTGGCAACAGACAAAAAAAATGAGAGACCAGAAGGAAGCATGATTAACATTAGTGTGAAAAAATAGCTCGCTATTGAAAATATGCATAAATTACACAAATTAAATTAGTTGGTTTTTCCAGGTAAGTAAGTATTCACGAAGTAGACTTAAATCCTTATGGGCAGCACGTGAAACATATTGAGACCAGCTAAAAGAAAAATATTCAAAGTACTGTGTATGCCTAAAGATGGAACATTTTAGACAGTGTTTTAAACATGTTTGTATGATTGTAACCTGGGTTTATTGAGCCAAAATAACCCTTGATATGCTAGGCATATTCCAGGCAAATGATCATCTTGGTTTGTATTAAACTTGTCATAGAAATACAATCCATTTTTGTAAAAAGAACACTTTATTATGAATATGAAGGCGTTCTCTCATTAAATTTATTTTATTGTTAATTCTGAAGTAACTCTGTGACCTGGAGCAGGCGGAGACATTGCATCCTGTGTACATGGTGGGAGGCCTTGCAGTGTACTGTGACCCAGATATATACCCCACAGTAAGATTGCATAACAGAACAGGTCACAGGAGATCAGCTTTATTACTCCAGATTTGCGACTTGACAGCGGTGGGTCCGCGAAAATGTGGGGGTTAGCAAAATGTAGGGGATCCGCTAGATTATTACTTTTTCTTGATTCCATTACAGTACCTTTGAAAGGCATGACTTTGTTCACTGTAAATTGTTTTAATTGGCATTGTACTGTAATTCCAATATTTTATTGGTGATCTCATAGAATCTTTTAATTTACTTCTGTATGTATTCTCATGTATGATGTTTAGTATAGGAGAGCCACTTGATTTCTTTTTTCCATGTTTTCTCTTGCATATTGAATAGGCCTAAATTAAAAAAATCAGGAGATGAGAGTGCCCTAAATTTGACCAAATTAAAAGTAAATGGGAGATAACAGAATATTACACTCAAATTTTGAGTTCGACTGTCATTTCTGGCCATCTAGAAGTGCCATAAACATAAAAATTTCCTACCTCCTCCCCAACCATGGTTGGGTTCAGGAAGTATAAAATCCCCTATCTGAAAAATTTACTCTCTGTACCACTCCCCTTCTAAATTACCTTCAAAATTTTGAGTCTGACAGTGCCATTTCCGGCCATCTAGAAGTGGCAGACATAAACAATTTTGTACTACTATAGTTGGGGCTGAGGTGGTTTCTATTTCGAATTCCAGGAATAGCCACTGTCTAATGTTGTACTTCCGTGGCGAATAATCTTCTACCTGTCTGTAGGAGTAATCTTATTGTTGTTGGGAAATGGACAATGAGTACAATTTGGACATGGGGTCCTTGAACGCAAAAAAGGTTGGGAACCACAGTTCTACAGTGCATCATGCTATGTCTACTACTTACTAAGCCTAGCCTTGCCCATGGAATGAATAATACTTAGGCCTAATAATAGAATAGAATTATAAATATAAATTGAAACAAGAAAGAAGCAGCTTGTTTTCAGTCACAGACCGCGGCCGTACTGAAATGACCCTAAGTAGTAGTATAAAGCTGGCATTTTAAAAACTCCGCCTCCTTCCATTCATGGTTTTATTCTGACTGGACTGTACTGTACAGCATGCAAGGCTTTGCACCGGTTTTGTTTGTACCGCGTCCCGGTTGCAAGAGCGTGCCGCTAGACCCCTCCTACTTCTTGGTGAATTCAAATTCAACGAAGGGCCTGGCGATTGCATTAAACATTTTCAAATTTTAGCAACTGAATGGTTCTTTAACAATAAAATATTGATATTTTAACTACGCCTATTAGTATTTGAGATAATAAACATGGGCTTACCAACTTTAAATGCATCCTTCATTTTTACCTTGGCCTAACGTCTAATCTTCCAAGAGAATACCTGCTGCCTACTCCACCTTCCGTGTCGGGCGATAGAAAGGACAAATAGCAGCATTCACGTGTAATTTATTTAAGCCGATCCCCAGGCCATGCCATGCCACAAATCGAGTCCTTTTATCATCTCGTGAACAGACACCTTCAATAATTGGATAACATTTTTAATATAACGGTTCTGTTTCGCCAATCAAGAAGGCCGTTAAATACAGCTTTTGTACGGGTCATTGTGGGGTCATTTATATGTCACATGATTTAATCGTACTTCTGGGATCGAAAAGATTGGATTGCCCGTATTTTTTAGGAGAACGTACTGAAATTACCAACTAAAATCATGTATAATATGCCAGAAATGACGTTTAATATAAATGATGGATATTTAGAAGGGTTAATTAGAGGCTTCAAAGGTGGAATTTTGAGGCAAACGGACTACCTGAATCTTGTACAGTGTGAAATTCTAGAGGGTAAGTAGCCTAGCTTCAGCTTAGACTAGGCCTAGGCCTCCTATTAACTAGGCCTAGCCTAGGTAGTGGTGGTGTAGGAGATGGTCCCTCCGGCGCCTGCTGCAGCATAGACCCCACCGTTCTCTTTCGTCACGGCCTAGCTTGACACTTTGTAAATAGGGTCTATAGCAATGAATGGCTATAAATTTAAAAATAGAACGAAACCCTGGCTGGTCAAGCAGTACAGTTACTTACAGTATTATTGCTAAATTAACAGAATTTTATACTTTGTCCTACTTTGTAACTTAAGCCTAGCCTAGGCCTACCTAGCCTAGCCTAGTTTTATTTAGACAGTCTAGGCTAGGCCTCTAGAATAGGGCTGTTTGCAGATATTTTGTGTCTTTGGATGAAAGTAACTCCCATTTTGTTTGCTGCCAACTGATCAGATTGGCTTTTTAGTCAAATCAAAATATAAATGAACAGTTTTGTTGGTGTCTTTGTTGTTGTCACTTTTCCCAAGGAGGTTAGGTTTTCCAAGTGTGCTAGAAGTAGAAGTGATTCTAACAATATTTTATGAGCAGCACCAGATGTTTCCCCACCAGGAGTTCTCTTACAGTTCAGGGGTCCAAGGTCCCTTACAAGGGGTTCATGTTCCTCCACAGGGGTCAAAAGTCACTCAGTCCCACCATTAGTTTAATTTATTAGACCTTATCACTGTAAAATTAAAACAAATGAATATAATATTATTTTCTGTTAAAATTAAATAAAATAGATTCAAAAGAAATTCTGTATTTTTTTAAATATTTTCCTTTTTGGCTTTTTGTGATTTAAAATATTATTACTGTAATGCTATTGAAAAATGATGTATTAGTTACAAACAACAAAACTATTATGTAACAATGCCACATGTCAAGCCATTTAACATGATATATAATATATTTATAATTGTTCTTGTTATTATAGATTTGAAATTGCATCTTCAAAGTACAGACTATGGGAACTTTTTGGCGAATGAGCCGTCCCCATTGAACGTGTCAGTTATTGATGATAAATTAAAGGAGAAATTAGTGATAGAATTCCAGCATATCAGGAACCAAGCTGTGGCCCCTCTATCCACATTTCTGGATTACATAACGTAAGTGATTGCTGAAGCCTGAATCATTGTTATTTCTTTTCTAAAAGCCACATGATTAAATCCCATGATTGCATGTTTGTTTAAAGGCGAGACTTTGTTTTATTCCTTGTTTCGCTTACTTATTTTTTTAAAGATTATCGGAGGAGGGCGAATTAAAAATAAAAATAAAATTTTGTTTTCTTATTTAGCAAATAGTTTTTGCCAAAATCATCCAGACGGAGGAGAAAATAAAAAATAAAATTTTGGTGAATGTTATACAGGATTTATATAATTAGGAAGAAATATACATATCTTATCTTTGGAAATTTCAAGGCAGCAGAGGGCGTAATAAAAATTAAGAAAAAATTAATTTTTTCTGAAATTTTCACTTTCGCTAAATTGGCCAAAAATAAAATTTTATTTTTATTCGAAATCATCAATATTTGCAGTCGGCGGGTTCACTAAATAAGGTATAAAAAAGCTCACAGCCTCCCTCTCCCCCCCCCCCCCCATTTGCAATTTGCTGCTCCATTTAAAGAGAGAGCAGCTTAGTTCAGTCGGCTAATCTGGTGGTAGTAACTGTGTGTGCGCTGAATCATGGAGATCTCTAGGTTCCCGGTTCAATTCCCATCACTTGCTTCTCCTTGTATTTCAGCTGGAGGGCTGAAATACAAGTTATAATACCGCACCGTCTTTTGGATGAGGTGTTTAAGCTGTTGGTCCCGAGTGCATTGATGGCCCATATGCACGTAAAAGAACGCAGTACACTCTTCGGAAAAGAGTAGGGGATTGACTCCCGGTGTACTGCCCAATCACCACCAGAAGGACTCCATTGGAAATAAGACTTCCTCTAGACTTTCTCATTAAACACCCCCTATCAGCTGCGCCCTGGTTATAATTCACACTAAACGAATCCGCTTGAACTAGCATTCACTCAAAAGCATTTGCTCAAATTGACTGGCATTCTATGAACGTACTAATACTATGTAAAATTTGGACGAAGTTTTTACTATTTAAATTAGAAAAGTATAATTGTTTAGGGGCCTACTGTATATGTTTTATAATTAAGAATTAATTATTGAATTTAAAAGTAAAATTAAATTTTAATGAAATCGCTTTGAATGGAATTAAATTGTGATATTTCATTTTTTTATGACAGGTACAGTTACATGATTGACAATATCATTCTGCTAATCACGGGAACGCTTCATCAACGATCGATTTCGGAACTCATCTCCAAATGCCATCCCCTAGGAAGCTTTGAGCAGATGGAAGCAGTGAATATTGCCAGCACGCCGGCAGAGCTTTTCAACGCTATTATTGTAGATACCCCACTTGGTATGTCCTTGCAGTACATGAATTCAGCCAGTGGCGATGCCAGAAATTCCCCGAGAATGTCCATGTTCCTTGACAGAAGTAAAATTCCCTCCAAGGTTGCTGAATGGGGGAAGAAGTAGGGGAGGGGCTGTGCCCTCGTGGACTCCCCGCACTGGCACCGACACTGAGTTTAGCTTCTGTAAAGTTTAAAGCCAACTTACTGTCAGTGTAAAACAACCTAAAGATACTAAAATGAAGTCATTGTATTCTATTTACCTTCATTTATTTTCATTTATTTATTTCGCCACAAAAATCTCCACAAACCATCCTGATATATTCAGGGTAATCTTGATTTTTTTAAAATTTTTTCTAAATAAGTCCTGATTTTCATATTTTTCTAAGAACAAAAATCTGGTTTTACTGTAATAGTTTTATTATAATAATTTTGATTTGAATTTGAACATTACAGACCACATACACACCTGAATACAAACAATTGTTTATCTTTTGTTGTGTCGTTGAGTTTGTGATAAGTTAATTATGAAATGACTTACCTGTACTGTTTATTCAAGTATCATTTATGAATTATTTATTTTATTTACTTCATTCATTAATTATTCGTATGTGGTAACACTTTGCCCATTGTGTTCGGTTACGTGAATGTATAATAATATTTATAATGTTTCGTAAATTTTGTTTCACCAGCACCCTTCTTCCAGGAATGCATATCAGAACAGGATCTGGATGAGATGAACATTGAGATCATCAGAAACACCCTCTACAAAGCATACTTAGAATCCTTTTACAAGTTCTGCGAGTCCCTTGGAGGAACGACTGCTGATGTCATGTGCAAGATCCTAGGTGTAAGTCTTCAATGGAACTATCCATTATTTTAGTCATTTTCACAAGAGTACAAAACATAGCCTGGGGAGGGAGGGAGTAACGGTATATGTACTATTTTATGAAAAAGAGAAAATAATTATCTCAAAATTGATAACAATCATTTTATTGTGTACTTTTTTTTTAGTTGGGGGGAGGGAGATGAGTTACAGTAAAAATACATGCTTTGTACATTTAAAAATGATGAAAGATGGGATGACCTCAAATGCATCAATCAAAAGGTTACACAAGCTCATAGTAATCTTTATTCTTTTTAGAAGTGATTTACGAGCAAAGAGAATCGTTTGGTTTCCCATCCCCAAAGTCGGGATTTCAATTCCTCACTGTGCATTTTAACTGCATTGCCATTCTTCACCCAGGATTAACTTGGTAGGATTGCCTGCCTGACCTAATGACCTATCCTCAAGGCTATGGTTTCAAATCCATTGCTGTGCATTTTGATTGTGGTTCTTGGCATTTTTTATGCATTGCCTTTCTCCACCCAGGATTAACTGGGTAACTGGTAGTGTTGCCAGCTCCTGCACTGATTTCAGTAGGAACATGCATGTTGACCTAATGACCTGGAAAAGAAGTGCTTCTTATCTGCAAATAAAGGCGCTATATAAATAAGCAAGTATATTTAAAAATAATCATGTGTTAAATACCATTAATTTCAAATTTTAGTTTGAAGCAGATAGGAGAGCGTTCATTATCACAATCAACTCATTTGGAACCGAGTTGACCAAAGAAGACCGTGCCCGGCTTTATCCTCAATGCGGCCAGCTGTACCCGGACGGCCTTGCCGCTCTGGCCAAGTGCGATGACTACGAACAAGTACGGTCTGTGGCTGACTACTATACGGTAAGCCAACACTTTTGTACCTTTTTCAAACCTGTTGTACCCCAGTAAGCATGCTTTTGAGGAATTCTGCTTTTGAATATCCATTAAATTTTATCTTTAGCCTGTTAGTAAACACTTGCTGCCAATGAAAAAAGTTTTTACAAAAAAAAAATTTTTTTAATGAAATTTCCAAATAAGAAATCAGTGTTGAAAGATAATGCTGTTTTAAATGCTATGAAAATTTTAAAATATAATTAGTATTCCATTTCTTTAGATCAGCATATTATCAGTGCATTAACTACATTATTTCATTAACCTAGCTTCTTGTTTATTAGATTCTGTTGCATGAATAAATATCTCATTTATAATCAATTTTAAGAGATTGGTAGTAAAAAAAAATGGCACTGGTTCAGTTTTTTACTGGTACGAACTAACACAATCAAAGTAGATTGTATTAGTTCGTGAAATCAAGAAAGCGCGTCAAAATACGCGCTGTTGTTGTTAAGGACTTTTGTGTGGTAAAGAATACAAAATTGCTTGACAACCAATACTTGCCTGTTTTGACGCGCTACTGTGATTTCACGAACTAACACAATCTACTTTAATTGTGTTAGTTCGTGATGTGAACGACGATAGTGAGGACATTTATTGTATAATATGAATGTTTACTTATTGTTTGTTTATTAAAATTCCCTCAATATAGGAATACAAGGCATTGTTTGAAGGCGCCGGAACCAACCCTGGTGACAAAACATTAGAAGACAAATTTTTTGAACATGAGGTATGTTATATTTGTTGACCACATTTGTATCTTATTTATTTCATATCAAATTACTCAGATATTTTAATCTTTCTTTTTATATATTGATTTTCTTCTGAACTTTTGGCATTAATGCAGTGTAAAATTATTTTCTTGTTATCGGAATCACTATGTTTGACTAATATTTATGAAAAATTAAGACATGCGAAAATCAACGAAGGAATTTGGCATCCAGAAATTAAATAAGAGCAAAAATGTGAGCTCTTAATCATGGAGATCTTTAATCCCTGGTTCAGTTCTGTCCACTGCTCTTCTTGTGTTTTAGCTGAAGGGTTGACATGCATGTGTCAGTAGTGCAGCGTTTTAGGCCTAGTTTTCATAAAAGTTGTTACACGCTATCGCTGTCCTTTGGCAACGCTGATTGGTCAGTTGAATCAGGGAGCGTTCCAAATTGTGTTGTGGATAGCTATGCAGCGCAACAATTGAAGTGAAAGCGCTGTAGCGACTGTGTAGCGAGTCTGTGGGAGGAGACGTTTCAGCAGTTGGTCCTGTAGTATGCAATATGGCCCATGTGAATGTTAAAGAATGCCACACACTCTTCAGAAAGTGTATTACCCAATTCATCACCAGAAGGACCTCACTGAAAATATGTCTACTGATTTCATTTTTTTGGTGTATCTTACCGAAAAAAAAAAATATGATCCAACAAATATCTTTATATTTTATACCAATTATTGATATGCTGCCATATAATTTTCTTCAGTTATATTAAATGAGGAATCATAGCGCTCTTTTTAGACTTGTTTTTTTCATTACTTTTGCAGGTCAAACTGAATGTGCTAGCCTTCATACAGCAGTTCCACTATGGCGTGTTCTATGCTTACCTCAAGCTAAAGGAACAGGAATGCAGGAATATCGTCTGGATCGGAGAATGCGTGGCGCAACGGCAGAGAGGCAAAATTGACAACTATATACCAATCATGTGATAAGGCATAGCACCTCTCCAGGCTGACTACACAGAATACATAACAGATACTTAACAAAAAATAAATTTAAAAAACGCAGAGCTATATAACACAAGATACCAACATCTTTACCATATAATACCTATATTATATATAAATAATGAAGATGATTATATTGCATAGTTATTATATTTATTTGAAATTATGAGATGCATGTGAGTGTATATTTGTGTGAGTAGTTGTGATTTATAAATTATTAATCTGATGTGATCAGATGTTTTTATTTCGGCAATACAGTATCAAGTTTGCTAGACCATTCCAGTATCAAGATTGGTTAGTGTGAATATTAAGGTTTAAGTACAGCATGTAATGGATATAAAAGGGATATCGTAAATAATTAGGTAAGAGCTGATCAAATATTTAGACGCATCGATTTGATTTTTTTTTTTTCAAAACTTATTCTCAAAGCACAGGGGAATTTTCAAAAATTGATATATACAATCTTTTGCAAGCCTTTTACGGGGTGGAAAACATGGGGAAAATGTTTACACGTGCCTTTCGTGTGGTGTAAATTTGTATGACTAAAAAAAATTGGATCTTTTTAAATGGGTTATACAAAATTATATTTGACATAAAACATTATAAGGCCTAAAAAAAATGTTTGTCCTAACTCACTGAAATAGAGACGGCAAAACCAAAAAACTTAAAAAGAGTTTGTTTTTTTGTTTTTTTTTAGTTTTTTTCTTTACAAATTAAAAAAAAATGTGAGTGAATTGATTTTTATTTTTTGCCAGATGCTCTACAAAATTGTCTGAAGTTGTTGTCTGATGTAAGATATTGCCATTCTAGGCCTACATTCATTGCAAAATGTCACTTTGACTTAATCCTCTTGGTTCCCCTGGGGAGCATAGGGCGTCCACTGTAAGTCTCCATCTCACCCGTATCTGTGCCTCAGCTTTGTTTTCCACCCATGTAATATTGATATTTTTCAGATCTTGTAGAGTGGAGAGATGCCAGTTGTTCTTGGGTCTGCCCTGTATTCTTTCCCCCTGCGGGTTGTAGTCTAGGGCCTGCTTGGTGACATTTGTAGGGTCTTTCCTTAAAGAATGGCCTATCCATCCCCAATTCCTTCTCTTTATTAGGTTGCTGATCTCTTCCTGATTGGTTTTACTCCACAGTTCCTTCTTGGCCACCAGATTTTTAGGATGTATCTAAGGCATTTACTGATAAATACTTGCAGCTTGTTTTGTAGTGATTTTCCATGTTTCTGAACTATAGAGCAGAACTGGCTTGACATTTGTATTGAAAATATGCATCTTGGTATTGTTTGAAATATTTGAGGAAATCCATATTGGTCGCATGGTCCTGAATGCATGTCATGCCTTTCCAATGCGAGCCTCAACATTCTTTTCGGCTCCATCATCAATGCAAAATGTCAACTGTAGGTGATTTTTGTTCCATCTGATGAGTTATTTTGAGAAAAAAAAATCTTTTTGTGCCTACAATTTTTTATCATTTTAAAAAGAAGGGCTAACAAACAATTTATTTTTTTAGGCCTAATTATGTATCCTGTGAGAACTCAATGTTTTTTAATTCTTTATGGTATGGAATATTTTTTACTCAAAATTAAGATCTGCGACGACTGTTCAAAAAAGTTTTTACACAAAATTTGTGCTAAGCGTGGAAAGATCACCTTTTTTGTGATGCTTTTTTGAGAGAGCTGCTTGTTTGATCATTTACGGTATTAACTACATCGCTGTATATTTTCTAGATTTCAATAATCTGTCGAAAATAATCATTCCAATGTAGGAAGTAATGTAATTCATGTCTGTTAATGCATTTATGGTTATATATATATATTGGTATTGGTTATTTTGTTTACTAACTCAACAGTAACTATATTTGTGACCAGCTCTGGCAAACCCTTTGTTTGTCGCAATTTCTAATTTCCCGCAAACACCCAAAAACGTTCGAGAATCAGAATTTTTAACATTTTCATGTTTTTTTGCATTTCATAAAAGGAGATATATTGAAGAACATTTCTGCAAAAATATCAATCACTAAACTAAAAAGCATATTAAAATTATTTTAAAAATACAAATCTTAATACTCAAAACCTACATGGCTGATATCCAATGAATTAAGTATTCATAACTTCGCTATTTACTCAACCAATTTCGATCAAATATACACTGTTTTAAAGAATTCAGGCAGAAGTTTGAAATACCAAAAACTCAATTTTGAACTTTTCCTACAAACTGCTGGTTTTACCAGAGCCTGTCACATTTGTTTAGGGCGTGTTCATGAATCTCGGATTTAATATTGATGATTTTTAACTGGAGGTTGTATATTGTCAATGATATCAGATTGCAAAAAAAAAAAAAGTAATAAATAGACCCTATAAGCATTGTCTCAACAAGTACATAGGTACTGTATATACCTAGATATTGATTACTATAAGTTCTTTTATTTGTAATATATACTGTAATTAATTTTCTTTGGTTATAGTAGGATCCACAAAGGTTTTGTCATCCGTTGTTTAGTACATCTCCGCCAAGTTCTGCAGATATAAACCTCTAAGCTATAAATATACATTGTTCTACCTGAGAATGTCTTATTCGGTGCCCTTGTTTTATATTTACAACATATATTGTATAGTAATAATAATAATAATGATGGTCGGTTTATAGAGTGCATTGTAGAGACCTTTGTGCACTTAAAAATTATTACCCCAGTCTTTTTGAAACACATGTAACCATAATGTAGTTATTGTTTGCATGTTGTTGGTAGTTTCATTTATGAATAAAAAGACTATTAAATATTAAAAATAGAAAGGGAAAACTTACCATGGTATCAATAGCTTGTGCTCCCTGGTGTAATAAAACAATGTCCTAACTTGGAATAAACCTTTGTAGTATTTTGTTCTTAGTTATGGGGGAACTGGAATAAACATTTTAGTATATTTTTCTTAGTTATGGGGGGGGGGGGAAGTTCAATTATATATTGGTATTGTTTTTTTATCATCTCTTGAAAAGTGTGAAGGAAAATAAACTTTTCTTTGATTAACACAGCTTTTACATACAACTTAGATTATTGTTACAATATATTACCATACGGTTATTGTTATTTGGTTATATAGAGGGAGACACAAGTATTGTATGGATGGTATATAATGATCATGAACTACATAATGGTGTGATTAGTCTGTAAATATTATCATGATATATGTGTTTGGTTGTATAGCACCCGTATTAAAAATAAAATATTACATTAACGTTACATTTTAATATGTTCACAATTACTTAATGTTTAATTTAGGTGCTACCGACACACATCTCTTATGAATATGGGTATTTAACATGGAATAAAGATACCATAATATGTATAGAAATTAGATGTGTCTTCATGTGTATTTGTTCGTTTACATTATATAGATCAAATATGGATAAATTCTTCAGTTGAGACTGCAAAATGCACATCTCATTCCTTCCTAATTTACAGTAAATTACAAATTGGTACTCGAATATAAGAACATGTTATACTGTATAATTGTATCAAGCATAGGCCTATCTCTTCAAAGAGAAGTTCCCTTTTCAGTACAGTACAATTTTCAGCATTTCTTCATCTGTAAAGCCATTTAAAATGAAATATACCTCAGTATTTATTGACAGTTTCAATGCTTGTTTTTGCTAAGCACCAGTACTTCATTTTCTTGTTAAAGTTTTTTTTTCATGTTTATTTCTTTTTACTTCAGAACTTGTTTGGTTAGTTTAAGTGGGTGTTATTGTTTCTTGTTATTATTTGTATTTTTACTTTAAATTTGGCTTATATTGTACTCATTTTGGCCCCTCTCTATTTTGTAACAAGCCCCGTAAGGCTTCATGAGTGTTCCTTTTTTGTCTTGCTTTTATTCTTGTCTGTGAATTTTTGTATCTTGTATCTACATATCGCATACAGAGGGCGGTATTTATTTATTTGCGAAGGAGGGTTCTCTGCCGAACAAAGCTGAGTTAAAAATCCACAGTGTTTTGTATGTTTTTGACTGGAGCACACTATGAAACGAATCGATGTGGCAAAAGCATTGCCTTTCGTTTTTCTTTTAGCCTATCAAATACATAATGGAACGATGGCTTCATTTCTTTCAAGAGCTCTAGGCTCAGAACACGCGGTGCTGTCGGTAAAGCATGTTCCAAAGGAGCCCAGGGTAGGCGACCACATGAATTGTTTTCTTGTACTCTTGCAGGCCTAGCATATTTAGGCCTGCAGGCAAGACGAATTAAACCAGGATATATCACTTTCCTGTGTAAAAAAGAAAACTCTGATTGCTAATATTATTAATTTATAATGTTGATAAAATTGTACAGTATATGCTTTTTTAATCTAAGTTATTTAAAAAGTATTCATTTACTAGTTTTTTAGGCCTTTTGTTTTGTATTTTCCTGTTAGTTGGAGTGCGCCCTCACTTATAACAAAACTGCTGTGTATACTGTAGAGTTTCCTAATATAAATATATAATTATAATATATAATAAAAATATTTGACAATACTGTATTTTGATGTCGGCATTTGCAAAATTGTTTTCGGTGTCTTTGATAAAATGTGGTAGCGCGTTCTCCCTAAATTTTAAGTTAGCAACCATTAGGTATCACAAGTACAACATACCTCCCAACATTTAGGACCCCTGAGCAAGGTATAAAAAATTTCATTGCGCAATATATGGGATGGGGTTATTTCAAAATCGAAGAGGACATTGGCAACCTGAGTACCATCCGAGAATATCTCATGATGATTCCGGAGTTCTTCTGTATCGTTGCTGAGGAGATGGTTGTTAGGTGCTATTTATTACCAATGATGATGTCACAGTAGATGTGTATAAGAGACAGCCGCGTAGGGTATCCACCGCGTACGATTGTTGCGTGTATGCTGTAACCATGGCTGTAAATTGTGATTGTTATAGCATGCACACAAACGTCGTACGCGGCAGATAGCCAAAAAACGATTTTAAGGTTGATTCTATTATTAATGGCATATCAAAAATCCCCTCAGCCTCTAGAACAAAAAATCATTTTGCTAGTTCTCTTTTAAAGCACAATTTTGACCATAAATAAGCCATCAAATCTCTATCTGTGAACACTACCAGTGATTTTTTTTATTCCGGGACGCTGACCGAGGCTCTAGTCGACCCCTTGTTTTTGACCCCTCTGTCGGACATTTCGGACCCTTTTTTGGCAGATTTATGGAGCCACTGCTGAGCATGGGTAGACCCTAGTCTCTTTACCGTACGTGACTAGAATAGCTTTCAAAACAATAAAAAAAAATCTGTATTTCTGTTTGAAGGTCAAAGACCATTATAATATTTAATATATATTCATGAAAACACTTTTATTAATTTTCAATTACTATAACATTTCATCCATAAGTCATGAAAATTTATTACATAAAATATACATACCACTACCAGTAATAAACAAGGAACATATTTCTTGCTTCATATACAGTATTCTATTTCATCCAATCCTACATTGGGATTGCAATAAAGATTATATAAATTTCAATAAGTAATAAGTTATTATTTTATTAATTTCAACTAAAATTAGAAAAAATGAAATTTTCACCAGTTATGAGATGTTTAATTAATATTATTCCTATAGTTTGCAAGCCCTGCCTGCAAATTTTAGATTTTTTTTCAATGTCGACTATAAATCATTAAAAACTGAATATTAAAATCTGTAACATATTAAAACTTGATAAAAACTTGTGTTATTGTTTTAAACGAACAGTTCAATTTTTGTTTTTACCTCTGCCGCTGAAGGTATGTATTCACTACCATCTGTCTGTCTGTCTGTCTTTCCGATTATGCAAAAAGTAATGAGTGGATTGTCATAAAAATATAGTAGTATATATTGGACTTTAGAAGAGGTGAATAAGGTCATGGTCACAGATATTAAATAATATGGTGCTAGTGGCAGAGGTATTAGTTTTAATTTTTAAGGTTTTCTCATTTTGTTCGGCACCCAACATTAATTTGCAGTATCTTAATTTCCATACAACCGCTTTCCGTAGTGTGGTATCCAAACAGGGATCCAAAACTGCAGAAAAAAAAAAAAAAAAAACCACCCAATAAAATAACAACATTATGCATTAATTCAATATCAAATGTGAAATTTAGATCAGAAATGTAGGAAAATAAAACTAGCAAACTTCACAGTTTGAAATCAGCATTTTTGTTCCACATTGTATAAATATGTTTAAACTGCATGAATGTATACAAACACACTGTACATACTTTACATACAACATAAACCAGTATAATAGGTATTTGTGAGGTGGAACCATAGAATATATAATATAGGGGGTGAGTTTGTAAGGGGCAAGTTGACTGGTTTCCATTAAATCATGGTTACTTATTATATTATTATATATATTTATATAATATTTATTATATTTATTTTATTTTTATTTATATTTGTGTATAACTATATTATATATATTTTATGATATATTATTATATTATTATTATTTATATATATATATATATATATATATATATATAATATACAGCTTGATAAAGACTTATAGTCGAAAGTACTCGCTAACTCTGAAAATAAATTTTGTGGCATATATCTGATACCATCTGACTCGTTATTTACTCTATGTATATATATATATATATACACTTAGTTTAAGTACTGACAAGGTGCATCCATCCAGAAAATATTCAATTTGATATTAATTAGGCCTATATAATTAATATTACTTATAGTAAACCATTAGGACTAACTATTAAACTTGAATTTATAATATTGAAGAAAATACTAATCTTATAAACTCAAAATAATTATTTATCCATATAATGTAGTTAATTGGAACAATTCCAGCATGTTTCATCAGCATAGCGATAGCATTCAGTCTCGTCACCGTTAGCATGTTCATTGCGCAATATATGGGATGGGGTTATTTCAAAATCGAAGAGGACATTGGCAACCTGAGTACCATCCGAGAATATCTCATGATGATTCCGGAGTTCTTCTGTATCGTTGCTGAGGAGATGGTTGTTAGGTGCTATTTATTACCAATGATGATGTCACAGTACACAACAGGGCATGCCATTGCATTAAGGTATGCTGAGAGCATAATATATATAGTCAAATGGTACCAATTTAACTTGTAAGAGCAACATAGTAAACATCACTCTTAAAAATTTGTAATAAGTGCCGCCCTCAAATAAATGCTTTACTCGATTAAGCTTTCCCTCAAAATATAATAATATAATCCCTCTTGAATAATAGCACCGCCTCAGCTACAGCCATCATGCTATGCCTAACAGTTATAAATAAGGTTGAGTGTTCTCACCACAGTAAGCCTATTTTCTTTGTTCAAATTGCTCGTATAATGATATGCAAGAAATTGCAGTTTTTATCGAGACTAATAGTTAGCCTGATTTCTTCATGTAGTGGATGTATATGGGGGCTATACACAGTACCATTGACCCTGCTACTGCATGAAGGTGACTGCGAAACAACATGGAGTGGTCATAGGCTGTTTCTGTCGTCCCTGCTAACACCTTATCCATACAGCTGGGTTGCCGTGAAGTCGGGCTATGTCTGTTGGGCGCCCTCAATACTGCATTTTGTCAACAAATCTTTAAGTTCTTTTGGTAAGTATGGTGTTACTTTGTATGTTCTGCTTACTTTTTAAATAATTATTCAAATTAAAAATATTCATTAATGCTAGAAGATGCCAGAACAATAAAAATCATTGCTAGAGCAGTCGCTTCATAAACTGCATACCTATTCCAGAAAACCGAGTAACAAATAAAAATATACCAAAATTATAATTAAAATCAATCTCCTCATCCTTTAGACCACTCTGTTCTGCTCCATTAAGTTTGTGATAGTCCATAAATTTTTTACGTAATTTCTTTTTATTAATGTGATATTTCAAAATGTAATAATTTCTTCCTTATACCCTTAGGTACCAGCTAGTAAATGTTATGGTGATGCATTCATTATATTTTGCACAATCTTGCTTATAGACAAATAATCAAGCAAGCGAAAAGAGAGACAAATGTTGGTGAATAAATATCTACTTTGGCGGAGGTGAAAATCAAGCCGCATATTGCCACGTCCTCTATGTGCATCACAATGTAACATAGAATAGGAAAAAAGAAATAAGTTAGACCAGATTCAACAAGTTATGGTAGGCTCACCCCAACCCCCCCTCCCCTTTCAGCTGTTGATTTTTCATGCTGCTGGGTGACCATTGCACCCTCTTTTCAGCAGCCACTAAGAAACGCCTGAATGGGGTTGTCAGTTTAGTCACCGACAACTCAACCAGATAGAGTTTAGCGTTGTACTCTTACCTAGTAATATTATATTATTTAAAATAATTATGAAGTTGCTTCTCTTTTCAACTTACAGCCTTAGGAAACATGGAGACAAAAGAGCTTGGCATAATGAAAGGTGAACCATGGAAGACCAATGGACTGACGAACATCATCACTGCCATTCCATTTGCATTCTTCACAACATTTGAGCTGAATACATTAAGTCATTTATCCTGATGTTCATGTTTAAATAATGAAAAGATGACGTACAGTACTTTTGGTAGCTACTGGGATGGATAACAGATTTTTCCAGGCCTAATAAACTACATTGAGTTTTTGTAGTTAATATACTACAGTCCTCAGTCCCCTATTCCCATCCCCCATTTGACTAAGCAATAATATCTACTATATAGAGAAGTGTCCTGAAAATTGTAGCCATACCGTTGTACTCGAAATCCTTCATCCCCAAAGTGCAAAAAATACGCTGGTCCGCTGCAGATTTCCTCCTATCAATTTACTGGTACCCATCGATACAGCTGGGTAGACTGAAGCAATGTAGATAGAGTGTCTTGGTCAAGGACACAAGCGAAATGCACAGCGAAGGAGTAAAGCTCAACCTCGAGGCTGGAAACCAAACCATTCCCACTCTGCCAAACCACTTCAACATCCTAAAACTGTACAGTATACTGTAATTCATACTGTAGGTTATGTTGGACTTCTGTTGAAGTTCTGTTTTGATTTTTCTTTTTATTTTGATATTGTTTACTTCACTATGACATTTTTAGTAGCTAAAGCTGGTTTTATAAATTTGGTTCCTGAGTACAGTAAACTGGTTAATGTTGCTGGTTAAATCTCTGCACATTGGACACAATATTGATGTCTTTGCCAGAGCCATATATAGAAAGAGTTGCGGCATTGAGAATTTAGAAGCCATTCCGTGTCCAACACGATGCACGTTCTCTGTCCAACGCGATCCGCGTTCTAATTATAATTTTGATTATCATTTGATTATCAAGCACGCGTGAACACGCGCAAGTTTTTTAATTCTAAAGATAAATTCTAATAACGCTTTTGATATTAAATAGTTATTAAGAAATAACATCATAAATGAAATTGAACATGTGAAAATACTATGTAATATACCTAACTTATCATTACTTTGTATATGTTCATCGGGAAGATTTGGACACAAAAATGGACGGTGTGTACGACGTGACTTTCGCAAACCGAGGAGCGGAATGTCGCAACTCTTTATATATATGGCTCTGTTCTTTTCACCAGTGTGGCGCCCTCTAGACCCACTGGTGCTGCCCCTAGGGAATATTTTGAGTGGAATTATTTTAAGTACCTTCCTGTGTGTGAGCATTGTGTGTAATATTTATTAGTTAAATCTATTTCTTATGTTGTGCTTTATGGTTTATTCATATTAATTATATTAAAATTAGAATTATATGTAATAATAATTTTGAGTAAAAAAAAAAACACAATTTGTGTGTATGCTGTGCCCTTGATTGAAGTAAGGTGCTGTTTCTAATTTATTAACTTTTCTGGAGAACGGTAGGTCTATGGATCATGTCTTATGGCTTTCCATGAGAAATAGGAGGATGAAAAAACTCTGTCCTGGGACCAAGCTTAATGGGAGACTATATTGTGGCCTAAGCCTACTGGGCATGTGAGCTGACTGAGGGCTTAAGCCTACTGGGCTTCCCACCTGCCTGGGGGACTGAGCATTCTGGAGAAAAGATGAAATTCTCCACGGGGGAGCTTAGTATGTAAATGTGTGATTCAGTGACTGATAATAATGCAAAGTGATATACAAAACTGTCATTATTATATTATATATTCTTATATTATTTATTACTTGGACCTCAGCCTGCTTTAAGTATCAGCCCACTGCAGGCCGGAACATACGTGAGTGGTGGGCTCTAGTAGACTGTTCCTCTGGGTGGGAGTGGGTTGGTTGGGGTAGTATATGACCTACTAAGACTAAGTGTAGAATAGGTAATGGATATAATAGTACTATACAGTATTAACTTATGTGCAATAGAATTTAGGTGTGTGCATTAATTTATTAATATTTATTCAGGGAAATGTATCCAGTAGTAAAGGATTGAATCATTTGGGTGAACAAGAGAATAACTATGTGGAGGGAATTTTGTTCATGAAAATAAATGGTAGAACAGGGCCAGTGGCGTATTTAATGGGTGCGCGAGTGGGAGGATGGGCATATTCCCCTCCAAAAATTACTCTGCGCCTCCCACAAAAATCACCTAAAATTACCTTCTTTTGCAAGTTAGCACCCCTTAACTCATCATCGAGCCCCCCTACTTCCATTCGCCCCTCCCCCATCAGCACCCCCATGTCAAGACTTCTAGATACTCCACTTAACAGGACTCAAGGTGTGGTATATTTAAGGGGAAGTAGGGTCTTCCAGAAAAGGTTTATTTCCTTAGGCACCCCTCTAATGAATATTTGCTGAGCTAACTGACATCACCTTGTATTCTCAGCTACTGCCCCTCTGTGTTATTCCCCAGGTACACCTGTTCGCATGCCCCCTGTCATCCTCCCCGCCGCTTCTATGAGAATACTGGAGACTTGAGACGCACCCATTTCAATCAATCATTTATTTACATAGCGCCAATATAGTTGTGAGATGAATGTTCAGTGGCGCTCAGAAAGTGTGTGAGCCAAGGGCAGAAAGCTTAGGAGCTGGTTCATGCCAGAGGAAATGTAAATTAGAAGCAGTAATAAATGCATGCAACAAGTTTCGATTGATGTTACATTGAATAAATATTTAATATTGAAATTTTAGTTTTATGTCATTTGTGTATGATGTTAAAATATAATTAAATTTACAAAACGAACACAGAATGTAGATTGAAAACGAATTATTTTTGAGTTTTGAAGCTTTATTGTCAATGCTATGTATACTTTGCATTAGTTAACATATTAATTTTTAGCATAACATGGTAACTTTGCAGGTAATATGTTAATTGAAACTGTCCGCAGTACAATTTGAATAATATTAAATGAATAATTGCTTAAAAGCTACATGATATTAATTATATATCTTCTTCGTTATTTCATTTTAATTTGCAAGGTTTAATGTCAGAACAGCTAGGTGCGATACCCGCGGACTAATACTACTGAAAACTTGTACAAATTGTACAGAATACATTTTCGGTTTTGAGATTTTTTTCTTACCTATTCGCCAATTAAAAAAAACCTTTCATTTAAATATTGTTAATCTCTTGTATAAAAATAAATCGAACAAGCCAAGAAAAGGATATGACGACACACATTACTGACCTCATTCATGACCTGCTCAAAAATAGCAGTAGCACTACCTTTTTTAAGAGCATGTTAATACAGTAATAATATCAAACGATATAAGAAAAGAAATCATATAAAACACACACATAGGCCTACACATTAACACGTCTACAAGTGTTTGTGTAACTATTACACTTTCAGCATCTAATGCTAAAAAAAATTGAATATTTCCTGCAAATATCAAAATTGCATGATTTTTTAGTACAGTAATTAAGGAAAATAACACTCGGCTATGCCTCAACTATCGCAAGAACTTTATTAGCTACGTGACGTGATCTGTACCTCGATATGATTGGTTAGATCATTACTTGACATGCGCAGAAACTAGTCACGCACTTATCGTCTCGAACTTTATCATGTATTGCACTTCCGTCAGCATAGAAATGATACTCAAAAGTGATAAATTACAAATTACCTGAACATAAGAAGTAAGAAGAATAAACATGTTTGGGATAAATACAATCTGATTGGTAGATTGAATGAACCAATCAGGAGCGAATATTGGTTGAACATCCAAACAAAGCGGAACTGAAAAGAGTTAAAGAACATTATGTATTCGGCTTAATTAAATATTCACAAGATAAAAATGCTAAAAAGCAAGATATATATATTAAAAATGTTGTCTAGCATTTGCATAGTTACAGTGCTACACTAGATAATACTATGCGAATTAAAATTCATAATATTACGTCTTAATGATAATAATAATAATCGTCGTTGCATGCATTGCTTGACTTATAATAATGATAAATTTGTAAAATATGTACAAAAAATTCATATTATCTACTACTTACTATTTACAATTGTTACTACTATTTTGAAAAAAAATGAATTATGTTATAGTTTCTAAACACGTTTACTATATTAGCACGTTATTGAAATGTTTTTCAATTATTTACAAATTTGAAAAAGTGACACCTATGCATATTAGGTATGTATGAGGATTCTTAGAAAAAAAAATATAATAATGAAATAAAAGGCAAATTGTGGCTTACGTTAAAACATTACTGGTACATAATAATGAGTTACAAATAATCTTTGAAATTAGATGCTGGTTTGTCTTTATACCTCCACAACCCAAAAACTTGAGTAGCCGCCGCCCAACATTACACATGGCATTCGACGGCCAGTCACTTTAATTAACAATAATTACTGTATTAAAAAAATAACTAATATTGCATCGACATTTTATATCAATCGTTATAACAGTGACATTGTCGATGGTAGCTTATTATGTTCAGAAAATTCTACCCAGCTAACAAAATAGCGAAATAATTACGTTGCAATTTAGTTTCTATCACGGTTTTTTTTTTCTTGTGAATAAAAAACAAAACATGTTGATGATGAGTTGCAATTGTCAAAATTCCATTTTATCTTCAAATCGTGTCACTTTTTTCGACCCTGGAGCTAAAGTAATTTATGTTAAAATTTGTTGATCTAACGAGTTGTACGCTCTCAGAAAGTAATCCCGTTTTGCCGATAAGAAAAATTTGAGAGGAACGAGTTGGAAGAGGTAAACACTTTTAACTTCAATATGATTGAGTCTTGGATTGTATATAGTTCTAAGACTATTGATCTATCTATAATATTATTCTTATAACAACTACAGTAATTAAATAATATAAAATGTTCTAACTAGACATATATCGTAAAAAAACATCAATCTAGTTTTTGGAAGACTGTTGATTGTTGCTTGGCTTGAAAAATGGAAGAAATTTAATTACTTCGAACATTTGCAAGACCACTTTAAATTGCTACATAATACAATTAAATTAATTCACATTTTAAATAAAAATATTATACAAATTAAGGCGCTTATGGTGTTGCTAAGGAAGACTAAACAACACTGTATACAATATTATGAATATAAATTAGTGTTTCCTTATATATTACTCTAACGTACGCATTTTAAAAATTCAATTTTACAATTTTGTTCGAATCTAATATTTAACATTGCATGCTGTCCTCATAGTAACAACATTTTTTTCAAATTTTAGAGCCATACAGCATTTCTATTGCGCATCCTCAGTTTAGTATAAAATTGCGAGCTCTATTTATGAGAGGTACATGGCACCGCCATCCACTTTTGCGATTTTACGTGCTTCCGGGTGTGCGTGCGTTTTTAGGTCATGGGCAGTAGCCGGGTAATGAAGTAACGTTTCTCCACTGAATGGCGCTTGGATATTTTCTGTTGGAATCTGGAATGAAGAAGAAAATATTATTTATTTAAGTGTCACGAAAACTGAATTTAATAAAAGTGCGATACAAACACAACTCCATGATATATTAAGACTGCTTTGTCATTCCCGGCATGCTCCCTACCAAATAAGCGCAGGTATGATGCTAAACGTTTGAAGGGTGAAAAAGAGGCAGACGAAATTTTTAAATCATTCAAGGCACTAAATTTTTGCTGACATTCGATGCCAGCTTCATTAAGTGTGAATAAGATATATTATGAAATTTAATGTACCATGAGGTTTCGCAATAGGAGCAATATTATAGTATCTGAATAATTGGTATACTAAATAAATAAATAATAGAGACGGTGTGAAAATGACATACACGAGTATACATAAAATGGGAAGATTGTCCCAATTCCATGCAAATTACAATGATGAGTAAACGAACAAAGATTTTTCATGTTGCTTCTTTCATGCTAATGATACCCATGCGTAGAGTAGTAAAGTATTATGTTATCCCGATTTGAAATGATTCCCTGGTTCTAACATTAAAACTACGGCAAGAATACTACTTGAGGCCTACAACAATGCCCTTATGGACGACAGTCCAAAAAGTCACGTTTCGTGTTAGTATTCTATTACCGTACTAAAAGAAATATATTCCATTGCAATATTATTCTATAAAAATAGCCACATCGATTTGATATTGACAGATTTACTATAATATTAAGAGAAGTTCTTAAGGAATCGATTCACCCACCCAACAGAAAAAAAAAATGCATTCCATAGATTTGGCATCGTATCACCCAACTCAAGCTAAATGCAGCCCGTGAATCTGTGAAGGCGCCAACCACACCCAACTCAAACTCACCCATTTGAATTAATTTTGCTCACTAATTTGCTACATGTAAAACTCTGCAGTTACTGCCAGTCCACCCCATGGTAACCCGCAGCCTTCGTTCAAAATAATAAAATCATAATGCTTTATTAGAAAAAATAAATAAACAAAGCTCCTGGTGATTTAGGCTAAAACTATGATATTACCATTTGCAAGGAATTATAAGCTGCTTGGTAGGGTATTTGTAAGACAGCGCTATCGGTTCTGCTGGCCTACTCCAAACAAATGAATATAAAGATAATTTTTAGAACAACAACTTCAATTTATGATTGTGTCTATTCGCCAAAGACAACTATTATTTGAATTTTAAATATACAGTTTACCTCATTTTGTATCAGCATTTGATCATACGCTCATATTACAATGAAATATTATATAAGAATTTAAACTTCAAAGGGCACCCATATTGACCCTCTCAATATACTAATAACAAAGATCAAACATGATCTCTTGAATTTCAACTAGAAATATAAATGTTTATGTTGCGCAGATCTGGTATTCAGATACTGAGGACTGATTCTTTATGTTGAGACAACGACTGTGTTAGCTTGCTTTGTATCTACCAGCACATTATTACTGACTCACTTGCTATATTCATTGTTTTTCTAAGTACCAGAGAATACGTTTGTTTTCAATCATTTTTGCAATTTCAATTCATAATATTTGATGCATTAGAATTATATCGAAATTATTATATTGTAAAATAAAATATATTTTAAGCATCAAAGTTATATTATCGAGTGGAATTTCGAAAACAAGAAAACATTTACAGATAAAAATAAATAAATTAGACATTTTAAATCACATTCTATAAATCATATATATATCTGTCTCTTATACACATCTTTACTCTAAAAAATGTCTTACCCCAAAAGAAGTTGCTTGAATGTAGTTTGCTAAGTCATGCGGCACAGTAGCGCCTACCGGTATCGACGTTGGCATTCCTCGAACCCGCATCAGGGTGGCCGGATTATGTGCCTGTGGATGTGGGTAGTATAAGTGGTTTGCCGTCGGGGTCATGGTCGAAGCAGATGCTGGGACGTAATATAACGGTGCCTGCATGTAGGGATTAGCCGTGTGTCTGGCGGCGTGTGGAAGGGGCATGCCTTGAAAGACGGCTGGGTGTGGTGGAAGACCAGTTGGTGTACCGTTGAACTGGACTGTGGTAGGAGGCAAGGTACCAGCTGAAATTATAACGGATAAACAAAGATTATGGATATTGTAGGCCTATTTTAAATGTTGTGTTTTACCCACCGTTTCATCAAAGAAAGCCTGTAGTAAAACAGTACTGATGTGAGCTAACAGATCCATTGCCTGTTGGCTTATTATCCTAAAGAACGCCTATCGTTCGATCTAAATTTGACGCAATGAATCCAGATAATCTTGAAAAAGCGATATAATGCACCTTCCGCTAATCCCTCACCCCTGGATATTGTGTCTAAGTTCCCACCAAAGCGACAGCGTAAACGTACTTGAAACACATGCATTTTGGGACATGCGCGTATCGTTAGACCTGTTCTGATTGGTCAGTTAAGTTCTGTTGACACTTTGAAAAGGCACATTATTTGACCGAAGCCTCGATAAAAGAGTTATATTACAAAATAGTAAACTGGGTAAGCATTTTAATTATTCAAAATCGATAAATATGGAAAATCAGTTTTCATTTAAATGGTATTTTTAGTTAAACGTGTTCCCCCATTCTCCATCGATTTTGATTCGACCCCTGCCGAGTATCGATTTCCGCCTACCAACTCATGATCAGCTTCGACATAAAGCTGGTATACTGCTTGGGAAAATGTAGTGTTCTTATTGGGACTCGAACCTAACCTTCTCATTACCATTCGCTTACTCTATAATAGCTAAAAAATCTTTATGAATAGGCCCCATAAGCACCATCGCCTACCTGGTGGCGACATTTGTGGGTGTTTGTTTTTGACTCCTCCCCACAGCATGTAGTTCATCTCATCAGCCGAGCACTGGAAGACTTCGATGTAGCGATCTCCTATATATTTCATATGGCACATACTGGCTGCGAGGTAAGCTTTCTCCGCCGATAACATCTGAATGAAGGCCTCTCCATTTGGTTTACCCTACAATTGAAAAAAAAGACGCAGCGACTCTTTACATTGTGAACAGTTAAGTTGGCTTATTATTTTATCACTTATCTTAATTTCCTTTTAAATGTTCAGAATGAATTGTAAGCTTAATATAATATTAATAATAATCTTTAAACAAATTCAACTGATATTTATGTATGATAGATTATTAAATAGGCCTAATGTTTTTCTTTTTTAAAAATCTTTAGTAAATTCAGTGCCCGATGAATATTAACTTGAAGTAGCATTTAGGCCTACGCATAATATATTGGGTTATCAAAAAGAATTTACATGATGATAACATAATTACCTGCATATTATAGACCATATGAACACCCTGTGGTCGAATATAATGCTGAAACTCTCCAAGAAACCTCATAATGTCTTCAACTGTTGCTGTGAATGGCAGTCCACGCATGCGTATACAATCGCGTGCGCATCCTGTGCTAATGACTTGTGGTGCTGGTGGTGCTGGCGCGGGAATCAACTGCGGTGGTGGCGGGGCTGGCATGGCTACTGGGTGAATCATGTGAGGTATGACGGGAGGATGGATATGTTGGGGTGGCCCCTCGGGGACAAGTGGTTCGGAATGGAGTCGAGACAACACTTGTTGTACCTCTGCCGTCGTGCTTCGGAAAATCTCGATATATCGGCTACCGAGGTAGTCTTTGTGTTTGTCCAACGCTTTTCCTGCAATTTCCTCAGACGAAAATAAGACAAAGGCGTCGCCCGTCACTTTTCCGTTTCGTTGCTTCACGAACAAAATTCCATCTTCTCCTCCAGCAACTGGGATTTGTGGTCCAAAGAAATCCACCTATAGAAACGAAGTCAGGTTAGCAGTCACAAAGAAATTGTAGTAGAAAAAAAAATAAACCCGTGCCATTTATACTGATGGTGATGTGTGACCATGTGACCGGCTATCTATTATCCCTTTAATGTATATTCCAAGCTTCACGTCATGTTCCAAACTAAAGTGACGTAATTACCTACCTCCTTATTGAATCTCGCTCTGAACCCAAACAAGTAACCCGGATCCGATTAATAGTTTCACCAATTTTTGTTTATACCAAAAACGACACCAAATATATTGCCTTGTAAGTAATAAAAAAAAAACTAGGCCACTTCCAAAAGAATTCAGCGCAGTTAATATTTCATTTAGGCTTAGATTTGAAAATTACTGAGGCACACCGCACCGAGTGAAGCAACCTGAACCTTATTCGCTTTCCCCCATCACCAAAGTTAAACCAAAGACCTAACCAAAGACTCCCTTTATCTATCTCTTTCTCTTAACCCGATCAAGACAAAATATATTCTGTTTAGGCCTATGGCTGTATACCCGCAACTATAGCTGTGTTGTTCTTTTGTCCCATGCCTCGATTTCCGGGCTTACTATCATCCACTTTCTAATACTAAAGTTTATATTAAGTTCACGTCATCTGTGCCAGATAAAAGAGTGCATGCGATTCGCTAATTATTTTCCTGTTTTAGAAGGTAGACCAATGAAAAACAGGATCATGGATCACAAATCGGGAGAGAAAAAAATATCCTGAGATCTACCGGCGGGTCCTTATCCTTTCTAATAAATTTTAGTAGACCAAAAATATAGTCAAACAACACCACAAATGAAATCCTGGTACAAATAATAAATTCCACTAACATAATTTCTAGACAAGTACAAATACACATCAAAACCACTCTACCGATAGTTGTTTTAAAAGCCATGGTTGTCTTAACAAATAATAAAATGTATAACGATGCGGTGTTACGTGTATTTTTTGTACATGATAATGTTGTTTCGATATTGTTATCTGCATTTTTATCCCACACAGTTTAGATACCCCTACGGATTCCACATGCTCACACCACCTCCCGGGTTAAAACTAGCCCGTATGCCTGATGGCATACTTACAATAATTCTTATGTGCTTCTAGCACAACCATAGTTCAGCAGTCCTTCAGCAAACGCAGTACTTTTATTCTGTAATTATAATGTCATTGTTGTTGCTGGAGTTAATTACGTTGATTAAAATTAAATCATCGCATATATTTTTTTGGAAATAAACGACAATTAACATTTAAAAAAATGCTCTCAGACTATAAGCAATAAAGGTCAATATGAAAGTAATCATGAATTTAAAAAACGTAATAAAATAAACCAATGGAAATTTTAATCGACTTACCACTTCTTTTGCAGTTGCCGTGAAAGGTAGTCCACGCATGCGCACAATTATATGCCCGTCATCACGTGAAAGAAATAATGCTGCTTCTCTAGAGGTACCTGAAGAAGAAATAGATTTATATTTCATACTTTACATTGAGAAACACTTTTAGCAAAAAACAATAGCCAGCATCATGTGCTTTGTGGTCAGTCACTAAACACAAAAGAAATGTAGGCTGAACAAGAAGCGCATTACAACAAGGCGACACAGTACTAAGTGATTGTAATTAGCGATGCTTAACTCAGCTTTGAAATTGACTATTATTAAACAGTTTTCCTTCAAACGAAGCCAGCCTACCATAGTTATTCAGAGGATTCTGTCTAGCTCTCTTCATTCTTAAAATCTGTCCGATTTGAAAATGATTCAGTACTAAAAACTTCAGTCCCCTCTCTGATGTCAGCGCAGAAAATGAATTTTGGTCAATTTTCCTCTCTTATTAAATACGTCAAAATACCAGCATATTTCATATACTGTGCATTATTATGCAAATTAGATCTGAGCTTACGTACCTGCGGCCACTTTAATGAACTCTTCTCCCTGCGCTCGAAATACCTGCAAAAATATAAAGTTTATGGTAATGAGCTCTCATTAACAACCAATCAGAAATCGTTGTTTGTTCACGTGTTCTAAACAACTCTATTTTGCCTTTGTCTCAAAGCTTTTGATAACCGCCTTTTCATTATTCTGTTGCATGGCCTTCCTCGTGTTCCTACAGCAGTTGTTATTTAATTGTAAAAAAAAATCATTACTGTACAATGCAAGTCTATAAAACTTCGTTAGAAATTGTAACATATGATTTTCATATGTATATTTAGAATATATTACCTCTACATATCGTTTGCCTAGATTATGCCTGTGACGTTGTAGTGCAAGATCCTTCTGTTCACTGTTTTCAAACCTCACCATAACTTCCCCATTCCTCCTCCCGTGTAGGTTTAAACATAAAGCAATGCCTCCTCTGTAACAATAACGAAGTAAATTCGTTTTAATATTTGAGGCCTATTATAAATTATATTTAAGGTTTTATACAGGCCCTATATATACATAAATTATATATATATTATATATATATATGTATACATATGCACATACATACATATACATATATATACATGTATATATACACATATATATACACACACACACATATATATATATACATATATACATATATATATATATATATATATATATATCAACAGAGTCAACATGAAGTTGAACACATAAATACGGTGAGTTGAAAACACAACAAAATAATAGATGATACTTTAAAGATTAATAAAATACATTGAAGATAGTATTAAAGCATACGACGTCAAATCAAAACGCGCATAAAAAATAACGAAACACAGCACTATAACTGACCCCAATACAAGTTATGATCAATGCATCGCATATTTAAGCAAAATAATTAATTTTAATTTACAATTGAATATAATTTTAATATTCATAATTCAATGAATATTTAATAAATATTTGTAGTTTTTTTTATGGAGTAATACTCACTTAGCAACGTTGAGGCCTTTAAAGAATTTGAATACATCACGGTCAGATGCTTGCCATGGTAACCCACGCGCCTTGACGACCTGGTCATCTGGTACATGATATTCAAGAGACAGCCCTTTATCTATCTCTTTCTCTTAACCCGATCAAGACAAAATATATTCTGTTTAGGCCTATGGCCGCATACCCGCAACTATAGCTGTGTTGTTCTTTTGTCCCATGCCTCGATTTCCGGGCTTACTATCATCCACTTTCTAATACTAAAGTTTATATTAAGTTCACGTCATCTGTGCCAGATAAAAGAGTGCATGCGATTCGCTAATTATTTTCCTGTTTTAGTGTGACATTACTCCAATGCAACTTACTATGTTCCGGGTTCGTACCGCTCTTGTACAATTTCAGGTTCAATGAATGTATGACCTGAAAATGAACATAGGAAAATTCAATTAAATTAAGTCTTTAGATGATTATGACGATACAATAATAACAGTGATGTTTGTGACTTTGATCATGGGGTGTTGATGACAATAGAGAGGTAAAAGAAAAAAGAAGATGATGATGACTGAGACAATAATATTGTCTCAGATAATGATTATGTTGATAACGATGGCAGCAAGATGAGGATGATAATAATGATAATGATGACAGTACCGATGTAGTAATTCTAGACAATATTACTACAGATGTGGATTATCATGATGGTAGATAATAATACAATGGTGGTTAATATGGCGATAATGATAATATATATTTTGGTTTTGATGATCACAATGATGACGACGATGAAGATCTGTATGATTATGACGATGATGCCGAGTATGATAATGACGATTCCATAATAGACCTAATGACAATAATAATGATACAGTTTTCAAACTATAGTCAGATTAACCATTTAAGAAGTCAAAGAAAGCCTTCGTCTACACCATCATTATGAATCAATCAAGCTGATGATTAATTAATTGATATGACATAATGAATAACAGTAAACACTAACATTTTAAGGATCAGAATACCAATAGTATAAATTGGCGTTAGGCACGTTAATACTTATGAGAAGGTACTGAATTGTTGAGAGTATCTCGATGTTTCGAATAGATTCGTCTTCTGTAGAATATGTACAAGTACAAATTTATACTATTGTTTATCCGACATGCAAGCATTTAAAAAATATTTTGATAATATCGATTTATGATATTTAATGGAGCTTACCATCTGCTATAAACTTCTGAATAATTGTGCCCATTAGTTGGCATTCATCAGCACCAAGTTCCATGAAGTTTAGTTTACCTGTGTCAATGTTCATATCTGACCAATTCGGTTAAGAAGAAAATGTACATGCTAATCTAAATAACAGAATGAAATACAAGCTGATGCCACTGTGGATCGATGCGTGTAGACATAGTTAATCGAATGCTTCATTAAATTAATTAATCTTCTTCAGTTGTTTATGATTTCTTTCGATATCGTACTCTATGATGTTAATCAATAAATGTAAATAGCTGAGCATTAATTTAAAAAAAAACTAATTATTGAAACACAGTCCGACCATGGAGGAAAGAAAAGCTTTTCTCCACGATTTAAAAGATGTCCTGAAAGTATACATCTCATTGCTTCGATAAAGCAAGTTACTTAAGCACATGTCATTAATAATAAGATTTTATACTACCACGACTTGTTTCTATAAATGTCATTGCGTCGATATACTGAAATTTACGTAAACAAAAAGTCATTAAGACCCCAGCCTAATAACAATTTCTTTCCATTTTCTCCTAAAGGACAACAAAATCTGAAAAAAAATCTCGTCTGCTCTCATGAATGTGGGTCTATAATGTGTTGGAGCAGGACTGTACAGACCGTTCTTGTAACTCAAATCTCACAATTTTTAAAAAAATCTGAATAGTGTAAGGCCAAACATTGTTAAGAAGATCATTAAAAATAAAATGAAACACGACGAGGTTATAGAAAAACCACAGTCTAACAATACCAAGATTAACCTCTTGTTAAATCGAAATCCTAGCTCTGCATCTTATTGTCAACAACTATAGTTTAAAAGATAGTTGTTAGTGAATGAAAGAAAGGGATGTATGGTATATTCGGACGAATATATAGCATTGCGTGATTTATAAAGTTTAAAAGGCACAAAAAAATCCTTATTAGTTAGGTCACAATATAATCTCCTCTCTGTGCAAACTATTCTAGTCCATATTGTCTCTCACTGAGCTCACGAACGGTTTAAAGAGATAGGAATTTGTCAGTTGAGCCGACACTATAGTCTGTAATGGTATTTAAAATAGAATAATAGAACGCTTAACAATAGCTCTTCTGAGTCTCATCTTTCTACAATTATCGACAGTGACAGAGAAGTCAATCCAAATCCAAGTGGAGATTCCATGGGTTTCTTACAAAGAAGTAACTGTCAATAAATAGGCCTACACATTTTATCACCTAATGAAATGGGAGAATCTAAGAAGATCTGAAAATCTCAATAAATCTGAAATAATAATAACGAATCGACAGTGACATAGAGGAAGCAGAAGGTGTTAGCCGTTTTGTTGTTTTTGTTTTTTGTTTGTTTGTTTGTTTGGGTTTTTTTGGCGCTTTTTAAAAATATAATTCGCCAAATAATATAAGGATGGAAGATACAAAAGTTAACAAAAGGAGGAAACACAAAAAATACGATAGAAACTGGATAATTAAAAAAAGCAGATTACAGTCAACAAACATGCATTTCAAAAAGGGACAAGATACCGTATGTTTTTCCATGTCCTGCTTGAAACTGAGGAGTTCGCATTTAACAGGCAGGCTAAACCATTCTCAGGAAGAGACTTAACGCGACAAGAAGGATAAACCATTTTATCGGACCATTATTTAATTTTTCTGGTGGAAATTGTAGGCCTATTTACTAAAAGCATAGGCCTACATACAAATTACATTTGACTGTCCATATGAGTACGGACTTTTGTATTGGCATAAAATAAGACTAATGCCCACTGAAGTAATATGTCGAGATTGAAACCCAAATCCTATTTAACTAATCTCATTTCAACCAAAGAATCGATGGGAATTACGGGGGATCTTCACCATGAGAATTATGCAAATTAAGGTCTACTTTACAACTTACTTTTACGGGATACTCGGGGCCAGAATGAGAATATAACCAGTACGTCTAATTAGTATAAGCACATCTCCCTCCACCATGGTATAATGCCTATTGCAATCAATCTGAAATCCTCTCCAGATTAGCAATTGTAGCGTTTTAAGCGAAGGGCCAGATTTAAAGGCATTTCAATCTGTATTGTTTACAGAATCAAAAAGGCAGATCATTATAAAAAGTTGGAGAAAAAACTACGCTGTACATTGTATAGAAATGTCTAAAGAGCCTACAAGGGTATTTGACACAGTTTAATGTACGATACAGACAAATAAATGAGGTTCAGATAGGAATTATCCTTAAGTAGTACTCTGTAATTTAAAACATTGATATTGTTGAATACACCAACGCAAGAAAGTAGCAATTTCGAAAAGAACTTCTTGGTGTGTAGGCCTAAACTATTCTCCCAATATGCAGAACTCCTTAATGTGTTGAGCTGTGTGCATACGACATTCAAATCAATGGTGTACAACCTTTTTAGATGCATAAGACCATACGAGTAACCACTTATTACAAGGCATAAAACATAGGCATTATATATATTTTATAGCAGTCAAGAAGAGCATTATTCACAACAGACGAGTAGACCCACGGACTACTCTAGCACGTAGCCACAAAGCATGGACCTCACAAAGCATCGAGCTTGTGAGAATCCGAGTCATCATAGTACAGGAACCCCTTATACAATTCATATTGGCCGCAGTGGGCCTACTGAACAAACACCCAATGTATGCTCCCCATTCAAACAATACAAAGCTCTGTTTGCAGAAAGCGAATTGTAAGAGACAATAGCTGTGGCTATGATGGTATGAAAGCAACATCCTCTCATACGCATGTTGCCTTTTCTTAACTTAAAAAACGGTTACACTTTCACCTTGAGAAAGGTCGACTACAAGCCACCACAATACAACTACCTTAAAACTATAAATTAATATGCTATACATAACGAGGCATAATTTCAAACTATCATGAGAATTAAAGGCGATGCCAATATTATTTCATATCCACACTACGTGCACAATACACTTATAAATGTGAAAACGAGTGTTAAGTCGAACCATGAGAATATTTATAAACTAAACACATGGAACTTTCGTTATTAATATTTCAGATTTATTTGCCTAAGGTCTTCTTAGATTCTCCCATTTCATTAGGTGATAAAATGTGTGTTTATTGACAGTTATTTCTTTGTGATTTCTAATTTTATTTGATGAGTTAACACTATGACGAATATCGCTTGATATTATTATGAAGGTACCGTTCATGAAATTACCATAAGAGAAGGACCCCACCAGCTGCTAGGGAATATATTAGCAACTAAAAAAAATAACACAAAAGGCTGACATTTCCTAAATTTCATTTCAACCAATATTTGTTCTATATATAAATTTATGTACACTAGGCCTATGATATTGATAAACCATATTATTCTTTTAATTCCAACAGGTAGCCTGACGTACTGTAACTATGATGTCACTCGTCTTTCAATATTTGTGTAGCCATATTTTGCATTAGGCCTATTGCATACCGAGAGATACGAAAGCACTCGCCATCATTACATGACATATGAATGGAATATAGAAATCTGTGTCAATAGTGGATTTCTGTGTGATAAATCTAGCCATGGATGAATAACCCCATAAGCATAAATTTATGGGATAAAGAGCCTATTATTCTGAAATCGATTAGGATCAAGCTTAATATAATAGATTCATCAATTTTTCAAAATCAAACATCTGGGCCATACAAATTAGCGATGAAAATACAACATTTTGGAAACTCATTTTTATGCAAACATCTTCACCTCCAATCGACTTTCAAGAAAAGTGCAAAGGAGAATAGTTTGTATCGAGATTGTCATAAGCACTATAGGCCACCATGTTGATGAAAATCCATTTCTTTATTTGTTACAGCCATGGGAAAGACTAAGGGAACACACGGTAAATCGAAACGGGAAATCAATGCAAAGTATAGGGCCGTGTTAAGGTCTAATGAATCGCATTGCGATTGAAAGGGAAAAAAGATGTGCGATTGAAAAGAGTTACAGTTGACAAGCTCGCGATCAATACACCCACTCAAGCGTTTAACCACGCAATCCAAGCTTACTAGCTGCATCGGTCGTACAAGGCGTAAACACCAGCCCCTGATATACCTTTATTGTATTTTTTATAGGTAAAACCTGTAGTATGTTACCTTTGATAGGCCTATTTATGTTACTACGACCAGTCAGGGGTGTTAAATCATAAGTGGTTCAACACTTTCAACGACGGAGCGGAATTTAGGCCTAATATAATATATATACTAAAATACCGTTTGAATACAACTTTCATACAATGTTCATGAGTTTTAAAGGATACGGTCAGCCATGTCTTTGACGTTGCTTATCATACCAGCCTGTGGGTAGATTTTTCTGAATTCTTTCCTGAGATCGAAGAATCTGCTGAAGTAGGGTTGAAGCTGGAGATCCTTGTTGGAAGCTTGTGGATGAAGACACTGTCGGAGATGTAGCTGGCCGTCTGTTACCAGGCACAACGTTGCTCCTTCATCTATGTTAAGTTCTGTCCGTAAGAACTGGTCAAACTGTTGGTGAAAATAGAACCAACGTTAGCAACGAGGTTACACTCTCATTTTCACTCTAAGAATTCCTACAGGGCTCACTCCAATTTCACTCTTTCTAGATTGAAAATTTGCTCTTAAATGAGTGATTTTAATTTTTAAATAACGGTAATAAAAATGAGTTAATCCATCCTGGCGTGAACAATGTGCCCTACACTGCTGTGCAAACACACAATTGTCATATATTCCTTGAAACGCCATGCAGTATATTTTGGATGGCGAAAAATTACATATTTTAAAAATAAAATGATCGAATAATTAAAAGCAATGTATAAATCCAGTGTTTTTTGTCAATGTTTTGTAAATATTTATTATTATTGTTATTATTATTATTATTATTATTATATTATTATCATTATTATTATTGTTATTATTATTAGGCCTATTATTATTATTATTATTACTAATATTATTATTATTATTATTATTACTATTATTATTATTATTATTATTATTAAATGCTGATAGGTCCATGGTCAGTTATAGGTCTACTTGGGAAAGTACAACAGAGTCTTACACACGTGGTTGATCAATTTATCTAAGCTTTTGAATACTATTTTGAATTACTTAGATATACAGGAAATTACGTAGGCCTATAGAATTATAAATTTTATTTTATTATGAGGCCATTCATAATCAATATACGACATGCCCAAACCGCAATCACTGTTTTCAGGTCATGGTATATGAAGGCCAAGACAGAAGAAACAGGTAACATCCCATTATTGGATTTGCATTTGCTAAAACCGCAACAGTGGTGTTGTGGTAGGATAAACAAAAACAGACCCAACCGCATCATAACAATACCTAACACGGTAATTGTTAATGAATAATAATTACTAAAATTCTCAAGTCATTGCAAATGGGAATATAATAACTATTTTACTTTAGGTTCATGAGAAAACACGCATTGGCCTACCAACTATAAATTATTGTTACTTTTGAGATTGATGATGCAGTGGTAGATACTGTTTTCCACACATGAGTCCACTACAACAATGATTTAAAAACAGGTAATCTGATGTGATTCTTTTGACTGATATGCTATTTTGATATATAATAAACATTATATATCATCTTCTACAGTACATAGCAAATATTTCAAGGCTATTGTCCTGTAACTTTTGCTAAAGGTAAGTACCATTTTATATGTGAATACTGCATTAATATTATCGCATTGTTTATATTTAGAGATTTCCCTTCTCTCGTTTTCATTTTGTGCAAACCAGGGAGTTAGTTAAACGAAAGAAAAACATGTTAGTCGATAAATTTAAGTATTTAAAAAACGAAAGTAATTAACGCAGGAGAGTACAGCTAAGCTAAGTCTACGCGATTAAAAACATTGTTTTCAGAGAGCAAATCCATTTTGAGGACGATTAGTGATTTTCACGCTTATTAGCAACAGGCCTGACAACACAGTCTGTTCTGTTCCCATCACTCCGCAACCTGTTGCAAGAGGCCTAATTGCAATTAATCGAAGTTCAGCCACGATACGTAATAACAGCCTACAATGTACGGTATATAATATAAGCGATAAACACATTGCAATAATGCAGAATATTTACACTTTTGGGACCAGAAATATAATAATTGATATACAGTATCTTATAATTATTAAATAATTACTACGGTGGTGGATTACATTGTATGAAACACACACGCATAAGGCCTATGGTAATTAACAATGTATGACTAATATGAAATATCTCAACGAATGTCATTAAATAATAACGATAATAATATAGCTCTATGATATAATTCGATAGGCAAGAATTTTGAATTTGTCCTCACTGCGATAGTTTACACCAATATAAGTTATGTTGTTTAACATATATAGTCGATTATATCATTTAATTCGAAGTACATAAATCCCCCAGCATTATAGTATAAATACTATGAAGATAATGTTGACGTATGCTGAAATAACATCCTTTAGGCCATGACCTAAAATCTAAGGTATTTACATCTTCTTACTAAAAATTGCAATTAACAGATCGTCATATATTCTTATAGTGCAAAATCTGAGGCTTACCTGTTGAAGTACTACGTTTAATCGTGCCGCCCCCTTCACCATATCCACACCTACACCAAGGTTTTTGCATAGTTCCTCCGGGGCTTCTCCGGATTCCGGTCCTACGTAGGCTTTTTGAAAGGCAATAATCTGAAACAAAATAAATAAAGGCTTTATAAGTTTCTGATTAGATAGTTAGGGGATTCCCCTTGAATGACATATCCTGTGTATAACATTATTGCTTAGCCATAATAAAAGCCATACCAATAATGATTTAATTATTAATTAAGTATATCGACTTAAGTTGTTCGGCTTGATCATTAATAGATCATTGACCTACCTTGTTAGTCTCGACATCAACCACCACCCAGACAAACAAAATAATCTCCTCCTCATCAGAACCCAGAAGTGCCCCTCTCTGTCCAGCAGTCGTGCAGAAGAATACAACCATATAGTTAAAAGGAGACGCCATTGCGCATAAAAGAAAAACAAATAAGAGACAGTACCACAAAACTAAAATTAATAGAACTACCCTATAAGGGACCCCGTCTATCTAGTGCGTCCACAGCACACGTTAAGAGCAGTCGCTCTGTTGAAATCCACAATCTCGGTATGAATACTGTTGAGTTTCGAGCATGTGTATATCGCTATAGGAGGCTACTTAAACTGCAGTTATTGGTGGAAGGGGTCTTTACGTGGCATTGGTATGAATAGACCGGGGCGTGCGCACTGCATATGGTATGCATAACAATAGACGGGACTTAAGTCTTCAATAGACAGAGAATAAGCCGTGCAAAACATATTGTCCGACATCATTATCATATCGTCTAATAGAAATCTACACATACTCGAATCCAAAACACGAAGGGCGTTGGTAGAACTACTGGACCACATCGTGATCGGGACCAGCAGACGATTCTCTCGTCTATAATACCTCCCAAATTTTATTATTTTAATATCAGTTTGACTCAATTCTACCTAGTAAGTTACTGTGATTTCGGTTTAAAGAGATGTTTACTGAAATTACGAAGACCGCATATAATTGGAGTGTCAGAGAGTTAAGAGGAAACTCGACGAGTTTAAGTTGACGGTAACGTACTGGTATAAATTCATGGTTGTGGTGGTGGCATATGGGAATAAAAGGTGATGGCATAAACAATTAAAATGAAGTGGTTTTGTCACGAAATAAATTTCTGTGATTTCATTCTGGTGATGGGAAAATAGGGTACTTTCATGGTTCCACAAACACACCTCACGTCATTCATAATCATTCTATTTTATCAACCACAAATTTGTAGGCTTAAATACGCACATTATTTTGAACATTTTTTTTTGTACAAGAAAGCTGGTGTTTTACTAGAGAGTATAACACTTATCAATCGTCGTTAAATGATTGAGGTATAAAATTAGACCTCCACGTTAAAAGAACGAGAAAGGGAAAGGTGGTTCAAGCAGAAATATGTCCATTCTTTGGATTTATAACCTAACGGTATGGAGAGTACAGACAGGCGCCATTTTCCTTGTTGATTTACGAATTGCGTACTGACACAGATACACCATATGGTTGATTCTCATTAAATATGACAAAGAATTGATAACGTATGTAAATATTACAACGAATAATTATTAGGTACACACGGCTGATAGGATCATAATATTAATTTATCTTCGTATGCGGATTGATCATACTTTTAGGCCTATACATTATGCAGGTAACCAAATCATGTTCTGCTTTTTTACACCATTGAAATATATTAATAGTCATCAATATGCAATAATTACAAATTGAGGGATTGATAACGCGGAATACCAACATGATTATTACATTACAATAAAATAGATTACATTTCACGTAATCAATCTTGGATAGCCGGATGAGAATAAAAATAAATGTCTTAGACAGTGGAGTGGAATAGTCTGTTGATTATGCTGTTTTCAAATCCCAGGGCCCTGGGTTCAATTCTTGTCACGGTAACTTGATTTTTTTTCTCACGACCAAAACAACTCCACTCCCTAAGCCTCATAAATTATGGGACATGGTCTATGCATAGAGAAAATAAACATGGTCTATGTGAAGCATCATGTGTTTGTGTTTGTCATCTGAAGGGATTGCCACCAATCTAAGTTATTAAG